GCATATATATGTGTGTGTGTGTGTGTGTGTGTGTGTGTGTGTGTGTGTGTATACGTATATATATGTATATGTGTGTGTGTGTGTGTACATATATATATATATGTACACACACACACACACAGTTAAATCTTGGATTTTGCAAGTAACTTGTTCTATTGAGTGTTCAACAAGATGAGCAAAAATTTCTTTTTTTTTTTTTTTTTTTTTTAATTTTTTTTTAACGTTTGTTTCTGAGACAGAGAGAGACAGAGCATGAAGGGGGGAGGGGCAGAGAGAGAAGGAGACACAGAATCGGAAGCAGGCTCCAGGCTCTGAGCCATCAGCCCAGAGCCCGACGCGGGGCTCGAACTCACGGACCGCAAGATCGTGACCTGAGCTGAAGTCGGACACTCAACCGACTGCGCCACCCAGGCGCCCCCAAAAATTTCTAATAAATTTTCACTTGATAAGCAGTTTTGTGATACAAGTATTATGGGATGCTGTATATCACATGATCAGAACTGGTTCTCTCCCTCTCCTGCTGTAGGATTGTGGGTTATTGTCACCATGCTCGAATGCTCAGTCTCCAGCTGCGGTGTTTAGCAGAAATCAGTGATTTTTCAGAACACTGGAAGGTGCCCAGAATTGGTACTAGTGTATTTTTTGTTACTTCAAGGACCTATGGACAGTCCTTTGTTTTTCCATATAAGAGTAAGCTTAGGAATGCTTTGCTTCATTCTAGGTCAGGCTGCCTGCATATATAGACCCTTTCCTCTGCTGCCTTATTGCCAGTTACATTAAATACCATATATGACAAGAGTTTATTCATACTGTACTGTCGTTAACATCCATGCAAGGGCGCACAATGGCTCCCATGCAGAAAAAGGTTGAAAAGAAAGGCAGTAAGAAGGAGGAAATGATTATGATAGAAGTTAAGAAAGAAATCATCAAGAAGCACAAACAAGGTATGCGACTGGCCAAAAGTACAAGATTTTGTAAGTCTGTGTCTGCATCTTGTCTGCAGAGGAGGAAGAAAAGAAGGCAGAAGAATTCCTCACTTCAAATGAGATTAAGGAGATGTGTAAAATGTGGGAAACAATGCAAAGTTTTGTAGAAAAGCACTACCCAAATAAGGCTGTTAGCAGTGCAAGCAATGAATCTGTTTAACAACAATGCAATGTCACATTTGCATGAAACCCTCAAAAGGAGGCAAAAGCAAGCATCATTGGATAGATTCCTTGTTAAAGTTGCATGAAAAGTAAAAGATTCCACTGAGCCAACAGATAGCATTGATTCCATTAGTGATAGTGAAAGTCGTCCTACACAATAACCTTCCTCTTTCTTGTCTTCCTCACACCAGCTATGAAGGTTTTCAAAGGTAAATGCAGGTTAATTTATTTTTCTTTATATTTTGTATTTTATTATTTTGCATTATATTATAGTATTGCAATCATTTTTATATGAATATTTTTGGGCTGTGAAATGAAACATCTGTGGAGTTTTCATTATTTCTTAAGGGGAAATTTGCTTTGATATACAAGTGCTTTGGATTACAAGCATGTTTCCGTAATGAATTATCCTCACAAACCAAGGTTTTACTGTACAATGGAATATTAGTGATCAAAAAGAATGAAATCTTGCCATTTGCAACAATGTGGATGGAACTAGGGTGTATTATGCTAGGCGAAATAAGATGAACATAGAGGAAGGGAAGGAAAAATAAGATAAAAACAGAGAGGCAAACGTAAGAAACTCTTAAATACAGAGAACAAACAGGGTTGATGGGAGAGTGGGGGAGAGGGGAAAATGGGTGATGGGCACTTGCTGGGATAAGCACTGGGTGTTATAAGTGATGAATCATAGGAATCTACCCCCAAAACCAAGAGCACACTGTACACTGTTATTTTAGCCAATTTAACAATAAATTATATTAAAAATAAATAAATTTTAAAAAGAAATTTTAAAAAAAAGAAGAAGAAAATAAAGATTTATTGCTAGGATATAAAATGTACAAGGTCAAGGACATCCAAGGTGGGAAAAAAACTAGAATCAAGACTCATGAGGATAAGACCAAGAAGAGAGAGGCTTTAAAGCAACACTCTGACGCTCTCAAAGTCCACATGATTTCTTGTTTCCTGATTCTCTGGGTATATCTTTTCCATTTTCTTGGAACCTGCTTTCTTCTGCTTATCTTCACAAAAACAATAGAGCCACCAATCCCAAATCAGCATGATGATCCCTTAACTTGGTTCAACCCAGTGAGGGAATGCACATCCTTGCCCCCACAAATCTACTTACCTATTATCCAGGGTGAAGTGTGAAGTTGTTTGGTACAAACACAGACAACTAGGCTTGACTCACCCAGGGAGTGTGGGTAAATCAAGTACCAAAAACACCATATCAAAAATTTTCATTATGAGATACGAAGTCAGTCAGTCAGAGAAAGACAAATACCATATGATTTCACTCATATGTGGAATTTAAGAAACAAAACAAAAGGGAAAAACAAAAAACAGACTCTTAACTGCAGAGAACAAACAATGGTCACCAGAGGTAAGGGCAGGGATGGGTGAAATAGGTAAAGGGGATTAAGAGTACACTTATCTTGATGAGTACTAAATAATGTACAGAATTGTTGAATTGCTATATTGTACAGCTGAAACTAACATAACACTGTATGTTAACTACACACGAATTAAAAACAATTTTTTTTTATTATGAGGAACAAAAATGTTAAAAAAATCAACACATCATGGTTTCCCTGAATTTGGTTTCCTGGGGATCAAGCCTTCCTGGACTTGTCTCTTGGGATACCTTTAGTCTCCTCATTCCTTCATGGGGCTGATACCTCAGGATAGGACAAAAAACATGTTCTGTACCGAATGATTCCACTTATAGAAACTGAACCACAGTTAAATCCAAGGGAAAGAGGAGCCTAGGCCTGTTTTCTCTGGGTAAAAAGGTACCATCGTAGCTTCAAGTGACTTGGTCCAGTTCACAATGGCTCAGTTTTCACTTATAAGCTTAACTGAGTAATAAATTGTTCTTCTGCCTTTGCACATAACCAAAATAATACTAAGTCTAGTTGATCATCTATCTCTGGAGTTACCTCTCAACTCTCCCTGTTGCTACTATTCCAGTCTGAATAGCCATAATCTATAATCTATACTGCTGCACTTCAACCTCCCCACACTGCAGCCAGAAAGAATTTTAAAATCACAAATCTGACATGTCACTTCCTTAACTTAAAAAAAAGTCTAAAGTTTGTATCATGTCTACAGAGCCCTACATAATCTGGTCTCAACCTACCTCTCTAGGTTCCTTTCATGCTATCTTCCCCTTGTTCTCTCCATTGCAGTCCTGCTAAACTGTAAATTCCCTGACTATACTGTGCTGTCTTCTACTTCCAGGATATCACATATACCCATCACCTCTACCCAGGATTACCCTTTTGTTCTCTCGTTGTCAAGCTAACACCTACTTGATACTTCTGTCTCACTTAAATACGTCCTCCTTGGGGAAGCTTTCCTGGATTCAGCAAAATGGATGATGGTGCTTTTTCTTATATTTCCCAAGTACCCTGTATTTCTTTTTGATGAATTTTGTGCACTAATAAGTATTTCACATCAATCTTTTCTGTGAATGCACTATGTATTTCTTAAGGGCAGGGACTGTGTCTGTTTCCTTCACAACAATAGTTCCAGAGCGTGGCACTTAGGACTCAAATGTTGTGTGGTTATTTCAAATTAAAGTTTCTCGAAACAGATTAACATAGGGGAAAAAAACAGGGGGGGTACAAACCATAAAACAGGCTCTTAACTCTATAGTTAAGAGGGTTGCTGGAGGGAAACATAGGCAGGGGAGTGGGTTAAATTGGTGATGGATATTAAGGAAGGCACTTGTGATGAGTACTAGGTATTACATGTAAGTGATGAATCACTAAATTCTAATTCTGAAACTATTATACTATATGTTAACTAAATGGAATTTAGGTAAAATTTTGAAGCAAACAAACAAAAAAATGAAGGTTTCTAAAGTAACTTTGATCTCTCATTACTCCCCTAATCAAAAATCATCAATTTTCCTCACTGAGTACTACATTAAGAAGAAACATGGAGAGACTGGGTGGTTCAGTCAGTTAAGTGTTAGACTTCAGCTCAGGTCATGATCTCATAGTTCACGGGTTCGAGCCCTGCATTGGGCTCTGTGCTGATGGCACAGAGTTGCTTGGGATTCTCTCCCTCCTTCTCTCTCTGCCCCTACCCTGCTTGCACGTGCTCTCTCAAAATAAACTTAAATAAATATATAAGAAATACTATAATTTTCCCTACATTACTTTCACTTCACACATGCTCTGCATTTTAATAGCTGTCTTAATTTTCTCTCTTCATCTAAAAGGCCAACCACTTGGGGCGTCTTGGTGGCTCAGTTGGTTACGTGTCCCACTCTTGATCTGGGCTCAGGTCATGATCTCACAATTTGAGCCCCTCAGCAGGCTCCACGCTATCAGCACTGATTGGGATTCTCTCTCTTTTCCTCTCTCTGCCCCTCCCCCGCTCACACTCTGTCTCTCTCTCTCTCTCTCTCTCAAAATAAATAAACTTTAAAAAATAAAATAAAAGGCCAACCACTTGTTAAGATCCATCACATCTTTTAAACACTTCTGCATCCTGCACGAAATCCTTCCTCATCTATCCCCTACAAGAGAAATGACCCTGTCCTGTTCTGAACACCTGTAATAGCTTTTTTGTAATAATAAGCTCTATTTTATTCCACCCTTACACTACAAATTCATGAGAGTAGTCAATGTATCATATTCACCAATTAAATCTCTGTACTGGATAAAAGTGCTTTGCACTAGTAGGTACCCAATAAATATCTGTTACTGAACTGAATTAAGAAATACAGATCCCAACTTTTAGATTTTTACAAGTTTTAAGTTAAGCTTAGGTCAAGTTAACTGTCAACTTCAGTGACTGCTTTTGAAATTGCTGGCTGCTATACAGACCAAAGTTCATTACCTGCTTTGAGCATCTGTCTTCTCTAGCTTTTCCTGAAGTTGAATCCAGTCAATCAATGCTTTGAAATCTCTCACATAGTTATCCAGCATCATTAGCACCTCCTAGTTAAAACAAACAACATCATTAAACTCCATTCTGATACTGAAAAGTTTTAAGAAAAAACTTTAGACTGAAGTACTTAGGAATTAATAGTTTTTACATTATACTCCTCATTGAGAAAGTAGCAAAAAAAAAGTAGTTTTTTTAATCTTGTTTTATTTTCATTCTCACTGTATGATAAGAAATTAGTAAAGCTGAGAGTCCAAAGACCAAGAGATGGTATTGATATTCTTTTTCAAGAACCACCCCCCATGACCATTCTTTTAATCTTTTTTATTATTAAGTTTAATAAACAGTAAAGTGTATAAATGTATATACAGATCATTTCAAAGCAAAGGCCCATGCATCCATCCACCCAGAACAATGCTAGTCTCTAGAAATTACCTGGTGTCTCCTCCCAATCATTACTCTGTCCTTGCTCTGAGGCAACCACTGCTTTGACTTGTAATAGTTTAATTTTTACCTGATTTTGAAATTCATATAAATGAAATTCATAGAGTATTAACATTTTGTGACTTCTTTTTTTACTTTGTTTATTAGGCTCATCCATGTTGCAGGATGAACCTGCAATTTATTTATTGCCATTGTCCAAGGTCACTTACTGAACAGTATTATATTGCATGCATATTTATTTACCCAATCTACAGCTGAAGAACATTGAGGTGATTTCCAAATTATATGCTGTTATTCATGTATGTCCTCTGCACATATGTATGCATTTCTATTGAGAACAAGCCCAAGAGAGGAAATACTGAGTCACAAGATGAGCATATGCTCTACTCCAGTATATAACACCAAACTGTTTTCCAAAGTGGTTGCCACTCTCACCAGCAGTGTATGAGCCCTCCTTACTCCACACCCTCAACTACACTTGGTATTGTCTGTTTGGGGTTTACTTTAACCTGAGCCACTCTCGTTGGTGGTTATGTAATGGTTTCATTTTGGTTTCAAGATGGTTTTCTATGATTATTAATGATTTTCAGCTTTTTTTCATGCTTATTAGCCATCCTCATTTTGTGAAGTGCCTATTCAAGACTCTTTGATGGGAAGGAATTCCTTACATCTTTTGGATATGGGCCTTTTTTGGTTATACATGTTGCACACATATACTTGACTTTTTACTCTCCTAATGGAATAGAATGTTTTGATGAACATAAATCCCTAATTTTAAGGTAGTCTAACTTCTGACTCTTTTATCTAAGACTGATACTATCTGCATCAATTTTAAGCAATTATTTTCCTACCACAGGTCAGGAAGATATTCTCCAATATTGTCTTTTAGGGCATGGAGTCTCTCCTCTGTTACACTGGTCTGTTTATCTATTTTTGTACCAATATCAACCTAACTTACACTGCTGCAGCTCTAAAATAAAACGCAAAACCCAGTAGAGTAAATCCTCCAACTATATCTTTGACTAGGCTAACGCCAGCCCCTTGTTATTTCCATACAAATTTTAAAATCAGATTATCAATTTCCCAGGAAAAAAATTTAAAACACAATTTTAATTGTAATTGCATATATTCTATAAAACAACTAGATGAAAACTGACATTTTTATAATATTGTATCTTCTGGTCTATGAAGAAATATATATATATCTTATTTATACCTATATATACTTGTACCTTATTCAGTGTCTCTGAAAATGTATGATAGTTTCCTGTGTAGAGGTCTTGCACATTTTTTTTAGCTTTAGCCCTAAGAATAAATGGTAGCTATTTAACTTTTTTTTCATTTTCTGTTACCATTGATTTTTGTATCCAGCAACTTTAACTTACTCAATACATCTAATAATTTCTCTTTAGATTCTTCTGGATTTTCTAAATACATAAATATGAATATGTCATCTGTGAATAATGACATATTTATTTCTTCCTCTCCAAGTGTTATATATTTTATATGTTATTCTTGTCTTCCTGTGTTGGCCAGGATCTTAAGGACAATGTTGAATAGAAGTAAAGATAGCAGACTTTGTCTCATTCCCAATTTCAGAAGGAAAGTTCTCAACATTTCACCATTAAGTATGATGTTTACATAGGTTCTTTGGAAGATTCTATTAGTAAAGATGTTCGTTCTCAGTTTGCTGAATTTCATCAAATATTTTTCCTAGGTCTACTGGGACAATCATATGATTTTCACCTTTATTCATCTAATTTGATAAATATTAATTTCATTCTCAAATGATAAAACCAACATTGCGGTACTGGAAAGAACCTAACTTGACTGTGATGTATTGTCCAGTATTTGAATAACCAGATTAATATATCAATATTTGGTTTAGGATTTGTGCATCTGTATTATTAAGTGGTCTCTATTTTTATTTCTCCTGAGACCTTTGGTTATCAAGGTTATGCTGGCAGAGTTCTTTTTCTATGTTCTAGAAGAGTCTGTATAATACTGGCAATATTTTGCTCATTTTTTTTGGTTGAGATATGATTAACACGCCATAAAATTTACCATTTATAATTATACAGTTCAGTCACTTTTAGTACATGCAGAGTTGTGCATCTATCCAATTCCAAAACATTGTCATCACCCCAAAAAGAAACCCAGTACCCATCAGCAGTCACTCCCCATTCTCTCCTCTTTCCAGCCCTTGGAAGCCACTACTCTACTTTCTGTCTCTATGGACTGGCCAGTTCTGGACATTTCAAATAAACAGTATCATACAGAATATGGCCTTTTGTGGCGAAATTCTTTCATTTAATTTTTTCTTTTTTTTCTGAATATTTTTTTTTAATATTTATTTTTGAGAGAGACAGAGACAGAATGCAAGTGGGTTAGGGACAGAGAGAGAGACACAGAATCTGAAGCAGGCTCCAGGCTCTGAGCTGTCAGCACAGAGCTTGACGTGGGGCTCGAACTTATGAACTGTGAGATCATGACCTGAACCGAAGTCGGACGCTCAACCGACTGAGCCACCCAGGCGCCGCTAATGTTTTCAAGATTCATCCATCTGGTACCATGTATCTGTACTCATTCTTTTTCGTGACTAAATAATTGCATAAACAAACACATTTTGCTTATTCATTTATCGGTTGATGGATACTTGGCTTGTTTCCACCTTTTGCCTATTAGAAATAATGCTGCTATGAATATTCACATCCAAGTTTTTCTATGAAAATATGTTTCTATTTCTCTTGGGTGTATACCTAGTAGTGGATTTACTAAGTCATATGGTAACTCTAAATTTAACATGAACTACCAAAATGTTTTCTACAACAGCTGCACCATTTTACATTCCCAGCAGCAATATACAGGCACACCTCATTTGACTATGCTTCATTTTATTGCAGTTCACAGATATCATGTTTTTTTACAAATTGAAGGTTTGTAGCAACCCTGTGCTAAGTCTGTCTACACCATTTTTCCAACAGTGATTGCTCACTTCATGTCTCATGTTACATTTTGGTAATTCTTGTAATATTTCAAACTTTTTCATTACTATTATATTTGTTATGGTTACAATTCATTGAAACCTCAGATGATTGTTAGCAATTTTTAGCATAAAGCATTATTTAAGGCACATACATTGTTTCCTTAGACATGCTGCTATTGCACACTTATGACTACGGTATAAACATAACTTATATGTACTGGGAAACCAAAAAATTCATTGACTTGCTCTATTGTGGTATTTGCTCGATTGCAGTGGTCTGGAACTGAACCTGGAGGATGTCCAAGGTATGTCTGTATGAGGGCCAAATTCTTGACAACCTCAGCAGCACCTGCTATTTTCTGATTTGTTGAGTCTAGTCATCCTAACAAGTATAGTATTATTGTGGTTTTTATTTGCATTTCCCTGATGACTAAAGTTATTGAGCATATTCTCATGTGCTTATTGGACATATGTAAATCTTCTTTGAAGAAATGTCTATTCAAATTATTTGCCAATTTTTGGCCTAGGTTATTTGTCCTTTATATTTTTGAGCTGCAAGAGTTCTCTATATATTCTAAATATTAGACTGTTATAAGACACATGGCTTGAAAATATTTTCTCTCATTCTGTGGGGTGTCTTGTCAACTAACAGCATCCTGTAATACACATAAGTTTTTAATTTTAATGAAATTCTATTTATTTATTTTACCTTTGGTTGTGTTTTTGGTATCATATCTAAGAAACTGCTGCCAAGTCCAAGGTCACAAAGATTTACACCTATGTTTTCTTCAAAGAATTTCATAGTTTCAGTTTTTACATTTAGGTCTTTCATTTATTTTCAGTTATTTTTTTGTATATGGTGTGAGGTAAGGATCCAAATTCATTCTTTGTGTGTGGATATCTAGTTGATCCCAACACCATTTGTTGAAAAGACTATTCTTTTTCCATTAAATGATCTTGGCACCCTTATCAAAAATCAATGGACACAGATGTGGATTTATTTCTGAACTCTCAATTCTCTTCCATTGATCTATAACTATCCTTATCCCAGTACCATGCTATTTTGATTACTGTAGCTTTGTAATGAGTTTTGAATTCTGAGTTTTGAAAAGAACTTTGTTCTTTTTCAAGATGGTTTTTGGCTATTCTGTGTCCCTTGCATTTCCATTCAGATTTTAGGATCACCTTGTCCACTTCTGCAAAAAAGGAGATTAGAATTTCAGTAGGGATTGGACCAAATCTGTATATCACTTTGGGGACCATTGCCATCTTAATATTAAGTTTTCCAATCCACAAGTTCAGATATCTTCTTCTTTATTTAGGTCTTCTTTAATTTCTTTTAATGATGTTTTGTAGTTTTTAGTGTACAAGTCTTGAACATCTTTGGTTAAATTTATTACTCAATGTTTCTTTTTTTTTTCTTTTTCATGCCATTATAATGGGACTGCTTTCTTAATCTCACTTTTTTATTGTGCATTACTAACATATAGAAACACAATTGTATGCACTGATCTTGTATTCTGCAACCCTTCTGAGTTTGTTTATTAGCTCTAATAATTTTATGTGTGTGAATGGATTCTATAAGGTTTTCTATATGTAGAACCAAGTCATCTGCAGATATAA